CCGTCGGTCGGTCCGTCCGTCCCAGGCCACGGGCCGGGCAGTGAGTGCCCCTGAGCCTCCCGCGGTGCGGGTCCCGCCCGGAAATGTCACGCGAATCCCGGGCCTTTGCCATCTCGCCGTGCAACGGACCCTGCCCCCGGTTCCGGTTCGCCCTGCCCCTCGCGGCCGGCGGCGCGTTGACGCCCCGGGTGCCCTTCCTTGCAGGCGCGGGAGCCATGCCCAGGGTCACGCTGAGCGGCGTCGCGGTGGATTTTCCCTTCCAGCCCTACCCGTGCCAGGAGGTCTACATGGCCAAGGTGCTGGAGTGTCTGCAGAGGGTGAGTTTGGTCTCATTGGCTGCCTCTTGTTTCCAGGTAATGAGGGACTTCTCACAGAAGAAGATGTCCCATGTCACGTTAACTTGTTCTTTTCCATATCCCACCTTTTCCAAATCTCTCCTGACCTCGTTTTACTTGTACTTTTGTTTAACACGTAGTTATTAAGGCCTCCGGAGTGTGCAGGTGGCAGGCAGGGGAGATGGGGGTGGGATGTTTCTGACTAACTTGGGAAAAGGAGGAAAAGCTGAGACAGTGGTGGTTGTGTCCCTGCAGCCTGCCCTGGCCCTTGGGAACTGTCAGCTCTTGGGGTATTAGTGTAACTATCTATGAGAGGAAGATAAAAATCATCTTACTGGATGAATGTGAAATAACACCAAGTTCTTTACAATAGTTCTCTTTGCTCTGGAGTTGGTTAACAGATCTCCATGGTCCCTGTTCTTCTGAGAGATCAAGGGGTCCTGCAGCACGTGTGTTCAGGGTGTCCCTGCCCGGAGGCAGAGCTGGCCAGGCCAGGGTGGTTTGTGCACAGCACAGAGTCCTGGGCAGCCACGTCTCTAAATGACTCATTTCCCCCTCCCCCTCCATTTTTTATTTTCTTTCTCCCCCATTCCAGAAGGTGAATGGCATTTTGGAGAGCCCCACAGGCACGGGGAAGACCCTGTGCCTGCTGTGTGCCACGCTGGCCTGGAGGGAGCACTTCAAGGACTCCATCTCAGCCCGGAAGGTCGCGCAGCGGCTGGGGGGGAAGGAGCTGTTTCCTGACAGGCCCCTCAGCTCCTGGGGCAGCGCGGCCACCGAGGCCGAGATCCCAGGTAAGGGCTGTGCAGGGTTTGTGCTCAGGAATGGTGAGAAACACTTGCTGTTTATCTGTCTTCTGTGATAAGGGTGTCATTACAAAGTCAGGGAGCCGTTGCTCAGCAGCCAAAGCACAGCTTCACACCTCTGTCTGGGTTTGTAAAGGTGTTTTACATGTTTTTGTATTTCATTTTTCTTTTTTAGAACACCAGAAACTAATTTAGCTCCCTTTGTGTGTGTGAATCCCGAGGTGACAGAATTCCTTGCTGTCTCTCCAAGACAAACTGTTACCATAGTACCAGCTGGGGAAGGAGGCTAAAAATACCTCTAGTAGTTCTTTCTGTGCTAATATTTTGTTTCTGCTTTTTTTTCTCCTGTTTGCCAGGTTACTACACTGATGTTCCTAAAATAATTTATGCCTCCAGGACTCACTCACAGCTCACACAAGTCATTAATGAGCTGAAGAACACAGTGTACAGGTGGGTGTGGTTTAGGGTGATGTTCCTATTCAAAGAAAAGTTGGAGAAACCCACCTGGTTTAGTTATTGTCTGAATTTGTGTGGATACATGTATGAAAAAAAAGGCATCCAGTGAAACATAGTTCTCTTGGTGTGCATGTGTAGAGCCTGGGTTTCCTTGTTGTTAGGTTGTTTGGTTTTTTTGGGTGGTTTGTTTTTTTTCCAGACTTTACAGTTTCTCTTATTGCTTTTGATTGATGAAACTCCTGAATTTGTCCTGGTTTTGGTTCTTTACTTCACACATTTACTTCTCAGGCTCATTGGGAAGCCTTTACAAAGTTGAATTCCTTCTCTTACTGTTCCTGATTCTGACCCTTCTTCGGGGCTCACCTGTTTCTCCTGAACCCTTCACTTCTGACAGATGATACCCCAGCTAAGCCTGAGCTCTGTTCTTTCCTGCCTTGTTTGTAACCTCAGTTCTGGGTGTTCTGTCTGGGCAGGCCCAAGATCTGTGTGTTGGGTTCCAGAGAGCAGCTCTGCATCCACCCTGATGTGAAGAGACAGGAGAGCAACCACATGCAGGTGAGAACAGAGCCTGGGTAGGGAGGTACTTTGGTTTGTGTGCTGTGTAACTCCTGACACTGCTCCATTGCTGGAGGCTGCAGCAGAACTTATCATTTCCAGTTCTAGGAGTGCAAGATGTAACTGTGTCTCTGGTGACATTTCCCACCCTGAGGGGGATGTCATTGTGCACAGCATGAAGGAGTTAAAAGTTTGCAGTTCACTTTCTGATCTCCTACTCATGTGCTTTTCAAGGGCAACAATGATTTCCAAATCACTGGTTGATTTACCTGTTGTTTTTATAAGTAATATCAAAGACTAGTGTTTTGAAAAATATTAGTCCTGAGCACAAGGGGTCTGTGCTGCATGAAATGCAGCCTGACTTTTCAGGTGGACAGAGGGACACATGATTTTAAAACTGAAGAGCTGTGGTTAGCATTGACTGACTAGCTGGTGTCACAGCAAATGAATGACTCTTCAGCCCATCATGAGCTTTCCTGTGCCTGACAAGCTACACTTTTGGCTGAACTATCTGACTGTGTTTGACAGATCTACATGTGCCGGATGAAGGTGATGGCTCGTGCTTGTCACTTCTATAACAATGTGGAAGGTGAGTGTGTCTGTGGAAGCAAAGCCCTGTGCTTTGGAGAGGGAGGGGTTTGCTAGGCAGGGAGGGAATTCTGGGAAGTTGGCAGAACCTGCCCTTGCCTGTGTGGTTGGCTCTGCATTAATGTGCTTCCAGGGTGGAATGTCAGCGAGTGGATGACTCTGGTGACTGGGGTAACAATAAATCTCTGTGACACTTTTCCCTGAGCTTGTGGTTGTAACGTTGTGATTTCTCACAGAAAAGAGTACAGAGAAAGACCTGATGGAATCAATCATGGATATTGAGGACTTGGTTAAAAATGGAAACAAGCACAGGTAGGTGTTCCCCTCTTTCCTTCCTTCCCACTTATTTATGAAAGCAATTTATCTATTCGTTACTGTGAGTACCTTGGTATGAATTTGACTTGTATGGAAGTAGCAGAACAATGATGAGAGCAAAGTGGAGTGGCTGAACGTGTTACAGACACAGCTCCCAGCAAAATCCTCTGTGCACCAGAGGTGTAACCCCTGTTCCTGCAGCCTCCATCATGCAACCCTTGGTTTCAGTCCCTACTTGTGTAGAGACTGAGTCAGAGCCAGGCTCACTTGATTCCTCCTGAGCAGAGGCTTCCAGGACCATCTGTCCTGTTCAAGGCCGTTGCAGTTTGGTTTCAGATCTAAGAGGATGAGGTGCTGATTTGTTGAGATAAGTTAATCTACAACATCATTTACCTTTTACCTGGCAGGGTGAGGTGGTGACAGTGATGGGTGCCACTCCTCCTCCTCTGGTTTCTTTCTTCTTTGTTTTGGTGAGCTGCACACCTAGGCAGTATCTTCTACACTTTATTTTACTTGTCTTCTCTGACTAGAACTAACTCAATTGCCCTGAAATGAAACATGCCAATTTCAACCCCTTAAGAAGCTGCTTAGAAGATCTTTTGAGTGTGAAGCAGGACTGTTGGATGCTCTTTGTATTTCTGCAGGTGTTACTCTATCGTTTGTGCTTCTTTTTTTTTTAAACAGAACTTGTCCTTATTATCTCTCTCGAAGCCTGAAGCAGCAAGCAGACATTATTTTTATGCCTTACAACTACTTACTGGACTCAAAGGTAACGTTTATCTTTGGTTTTAAATGCATTTGGTTTTTTATTTATCTTCTGTTGGCTTTTAATGGAGAAACTGTGAAGAACTGATGCATGGGGAGGAACATGTTGTGTGGTGTACACACAAGCAAAAGCCTGTTCCAGTCAGGAGCATAGAGGATGCTATTTTGTGTTGTTGGGTTTTTTTTCTCTGTAAAGTTCTTTCTCATGGTTAAAAAATACTTTCTAGTTTATTTTGTTTGCAGTCCTATTTTTCTAGCATTAACTTTGCAGAATCTGATGTCCTGGTTTGGTGATACTCACCTGCTGAATGCAGATCTCCAGTCACTGTGAAGGGTTTGTGTGTGTGTGTGTTCTGAGATGTGTTTGTTCCTCTCTTGGAAATAATTGATGGCTTTGAAGATTAAAACTGGCTAAAATGAATTCTGATGAACTAGTGCATCCTGCTGTGGTACAATTTGTTTTTGTTAATTACCCTGCCAGTTGTAACTTCCATGAACTTCTACGTGATGCATTTTATCCCCTTAATAAGTCCACCATCACTGTGAAGGGTTTGTGTGTGTGTGTTCTGAGATGTGTTTGTTCCTCTCTTGGAAATAATTGATGGCTTTGAAGATTAAAACTGGCTAAAATGAATTCTGATGAACTAGTGCATCCTGCTGTGGTACAATTTGTTTTTGTTAATTACCCTGCCAGTTGTAACTTCCATGAACTTCTACGTGATGCATTTTATCCCCTTAATTTCCAGAGAAAAAACCAAACCTGTGGTTTACATATTACATAGCCACAGTGATTACTGGCTGTTCTCTCCAAAGAAAAAAAAAGTATTAAAAATAAATACCCAGATCTGTCTCATGAGCCAATTTCCCTGGGTTTCTCTGAGTTTTTTGTCCATTCCCACGTTCTCCTCTTTGTCTTCAGAGCCGCCGAGCCCACAACTTGGACCTGAAGGGGACTGTGGTCATACTTGATGAAGCTCACAATGTGGTGAGTTGTTTCTGGTTTGCTGTCATTTTCCAAATGTCATCCAAAGACAAAAACAGCCCAGTGCCCTGTTAAAAACAACTGGTGGAGTCTGTGCTCAGCTATTGCAATTGTTAACCTTTGTGATCGTGCCTATTGCTTGTTTCTGTGCCCATTTAAAGCTTTGTGGTTTAATTATCAGTCCTTTGGCACTGCTGTGGTTTTTCACAAGGTGAGAAAGTCTTCCTGAAGGGTGGACCTCCACATGGATGAGGGTGCTCATTTTCTTGGTTGGAGAGTTCTCTCTCAGGGTGGAAGAGCTCTTGAAAGATCCATTCTAGAAGCTCAGCTGCACCAGCTGCCCAAGGGCAGTAGGTGGCAAATGTAACACGAGATATTTGCAAGTCTTCCCTTGTGGAGAAAAATAAAATAAAAAAGCTGCATTGTGAGATCTTCCTCTTAGTTGGCTTGAAACTGCAGCCCTTGGCCTCAATAATCAAATGCAAAGGAGCGGTTGGAATCTGTCCCTTTATTCTGTCACACGAGCAGCCTCCCAGTGGGATTTCTGCTAAGCAGCTGCCCAGTTTATTCTGATTCCACATTCTTGCAGTAAACAGGCTGCTGGAGGGTGTGATGGGCTTGACAGGAGAGGCTTGTGTCCAACATGTGCTCCTTTCTTCAGAAGATCTTTGTTTTCTGTTGAAAAATATGTGGAGATCTGGTCATAGCTGTAAGAATTGTGGTGTTTTTTTCCTAAAAATATTAGTTGATGCCTGCATCCAGAGTTAGCCAGAAGAGCTATTCCAAAGCTCCTCATTTTGCAATAGTGTTCTCATGGTACTGTCTATTCCAGGTTAGTGCATGGAAATCCCTGATTAGTCTGCAATTAATTTGACTTTTCTGATTAGGTGGTGTACACATGCAGCTAGCTCAACATTATTTCTTCACAGCATGTTTCTTCTCAGCTGCAGCAGTCAGGTTTTTGTGTGTTAGTCCTTACTGTTTCTCTTCGTTCCTCAGGGAAAGGGATTCATTTAGTAAATTAAACATTCAAGGCAAAACAATGTGGCTTATTTTTCAAAGTCATACAGAGCTTTGTCAAAGCTGATCAGTTTGTTGAGTGTTCAAACAGGTGGTTTTTTTAAATAGAAATTGTTTTCTTCCTTCTCTGTAATGAGATTTCTTCTGGCCTACGTTTTAGCCCAATTTTTGCATATGAATAATATCCATTTACTGCTTTTTGGTTTTTTGTGTGTCTTCCCTTCCCTTTTCTCTCCATGCCCCATCTCTGGATTAAAGATCATGAGGGGCAAGGGCTATGTCTTCATATCAGCAAATACAGGCATATGAGTATTTCCCACGAGTGTGGGAGGGACTGGGAAGTAGCTCTTCTGAAGGACAAACTGGTTGTTTAACTAAAACCTTTTCTATATGGACCTTTTGCCATCAGCCAGCAAAGCTGTTTGGCAGCTGAGCAGGAGAAACAAAAGGGTGTCAAGACAAGCCATGAAAGACATGAAGAACACAGAGTAGGTGACACCTAGTAAACAAAAGGGATCTTCATGATGGCAGTGATTTGCTGCTAGGTGGGAATGACAGTGTTGGAGGTGTGAAAGGGACAAAATCAGTTCCCTGTTTCAGGAAAAAGGCTGCCTGGTAACAGCCAAAGTCTTTGGGTGTTTCTAAAGTGTCCTTTGGCCTGAGCTGGAGATAGAAATGAAATCGCACCTTGTCATCTGGACTGCAGCCTCTGTGAAGCTGCCTGAGCAAGTGGCAGGCTGAGCTGGGCTCTACTGCTGCTGTGGCTTGTGTTCCAGGAGAAGCTGTGTGAGGAATCAGCCTCCTTCGACCTCAGCCCCTACGATCTGGCCTCGGCGCTGGACGCCCTCAACCTCTTGCTGGAAGAACAAGCCAAAGTGGTGCAGCAGAATGAAGTCAATGCTGAGTTCAATATGGAGCTGGTCAGTTCAGGTGTGTTGACAGCCACAAACCACTGGTTCACTGAGGTTCTAGGAGGCCACTACCAAGAACTGGAAAATAGTTTTTCCTGACAGCTGCTGGAACACTTTTTAGACATTAGGGAGAAGTTCTGGGCTGTGAGGGTGGTGAGACCCTGGCCCAGGCTGCCCAGAGAAGCTGTGGCTGCCCCATCCCTGGAAGTGTTCAAGGCCAGGTTGGTTGCTTGGAGCAACCTGGTCTAGTTGGAGGTGTCCCTGCCCATGCTGGGGGGGTTTGAACTAGATGATATTTAAGGTCCCTTCCAACCCAAACTATTCTATGATTCTCAAATTTACTCTCATTAGTGGATAAATTATTGTTAATTAGTAATCGATGCCAGACAAATATGAGAAGATTTGGCCAAACCATGAGGGGTCATGAAAGAGAACAGTGAGTGGAATACAGATGGTGTCTTTCCATACACACAGATCTAGCCCTATATGCATAATTTCTGAAGGGCCAGGAAGTAGGGATGGAACAAACATGAAACATCCTCTTTGAAATCTTTCCTTTCTTTGACAGGACTGAACATGGAACTTGAAGATCTAGCAAAGATAAAGAGTAAGGTTATTTCTTTGTGTTGCCGAAAATTGTTGTTGAAACAGTTGCAAAAGGTCAACAAGTGTAACTTGGGTTCATGCAGTGTTTCTGCAGACATTGCTTGTAACTAAGAAACACATGGAAGATGAAGTTGTTTCTTCAGAGAATTTTGTGGAATGTTTAGTTAGTTATTTTTTTCCAAAGAAGAAGAGAGATTTTTAACTTTTTTCCCCCTTTTGCTTCTTAAAGAAATTCTTCTTCAGCTGGAAAGTGCTATTGATGCAGTGGAGCTGCCACCAAATGGTAGTGGAGTCACCAAAGAGGGAAGGTAAATTGCTTCTCATTAGTATCTTTACATCTTGGGGACACAGCAGATTCCTTGCATGGGTGAAGCTGGGTCAGCTCTTGGGATTGGTACCACTATTCCAGCTTCTGAGAATGGTATTTATTCAAAGTTTTGGATTTCCTTCTCTGCAGTAGTCATTTCATTCTAGTGGAACCCCTGAGAGGAGGGTCCTGTGCTGGTTGTGTGTCTGTTGGGTGCTCTGACCTGGAGAAGCTCCTCACTGTGCTACTTCAGTTTTGACACGATTTACACAGAAGTTCTAGTGCAGCAGTGATTTGGTTTGAGGTACCTCAGGGCTCTGTCAGTCGGTTTCTAAAGTAATGGACATTGTTGTAAAAAACCCCATGAAGGCCCCTGTGGATCTGTTTCTGAGGGAAGGTGCCTTACAGGCTGTGGAGAAATCGTGGGAGATGGGAAGGATGTGGTCAGGAGCTTTCTGTCATCTCAGGAGTCTGTTGTCTTTACAACCAAAAGCTTCTTTTTATTCCTTTGAATTTCTCTTTCTCATGGAACAAGAACATGTTTTACTACTGCATGGTGGTTGTTACAAAAGAGTAACAGTAATTGTGTCCATGTGACTATTTGCAGTGTTTACCCATTTGTGCTTTTTCTTTGTAAATTGCAGCTACATCTTTGATCTGTTTGCAGAGGCCCAAATAACATTCCAGACCAAATCCTCACTCCTGGAGTCATTAGAGCAGATTTTACAGTTTCTTGCAGGCCGTAAGTGTAAATTTGTTGTTTGTTTCACTCAGACTTTTCTCTGTGATGTAACTGGAACTTTGGTTTAGGGAGAGGACAAAGGCTTCTTTGTTTAGATTTTAATCGTAAAGCTTTATAAAAGCTAAAATCTGACCCTAAGGATCTGTCTTTTTATTAAGATTTCCTGTGAGGTCCTCTGGAAACCATATTTTGTCTGTTCATGCATGGGAACTAGTTTTAAGAACCATTTTGTGTCAAAACCTGAGTGGTACCAACATGTGTCTGTACCTACATGTGCCCAGAGGATTTGTGCACATAGCATCATTTTTCTCCAAAACCAGGAGAATTGTGGGGTGGAGCTTGCTGAGGTTTGCTGATGGCACTTGGGAGTGTCTTGAGTTCTTCCCTCCTGGAAGTTATAAAATAGGAGTTTTGGGAATTGCACATGGGGTTTTTTCTCTTGATTTCACAAACCTCTGCTCTACTGCCCGTCAGCGTCTTGTTCTTAATTTGCCTGTGTAGTCCCTATTTTCATGTACTCCTCTAGAGTCACTGTTTTGAGCAAACTAGAAGCTTGGAGGTGACTGTAAAGGGCAATTTGTAGCTGTAGTAAAAGTTAGTTCTGTCTCTGCATAGTCAGTTTTCTTTTGAGAGTAGTATTAATTGTGTGAGCTTTTGAAAAATTAAACAGTTAAACCATACTTGGTCTTTTGTTTTAATTGGCTCCTTTGCAGTTTTTAATATGGGGGAGCCTTAAGAAGTTTGTAATTGCCTCAGAGGACAGCTTCCCAGTGCTCCAGAGACCTGGAACTTGCTTTGGAATGCCCCTTTGTGTGTCCCCTTGAATCTTGAATAGTGATAAAAACCTTGAAATAATCAGTTGGCTTCAGGTGACATTTTCTAGTCGTTGTATTCAGAGTGTTCTGCTGGTCAGATAAGACATGGATATATACAAGGAGTATGTTTGTGTTGTGAAAGTAACCATGTGGAATTCTCTCTAGGTACTGGGATATTTGTCAATACATCTGGATTGCATAAGCTTTCAGATATCATCCAGGTAAATAATTCTGCTTCAATATATGTCTGAAGGATAGAAGAGCTGGTTAGACATTAGATCCATTTTCTTTTTGACTGTATGTGCAGTGAGGGAAGTCAGGGAATTTTTGAGGAGAAAGCTGCTGCCTGGAGGGATGGTCTGCTTGGATTTTTACCCAGGTTGTTCTTTTAGAGTTTTGATGTCCATTTTTGGCAATACTTCTGTATGAATTGGTCTGTGTTTAGTCTCCACCAGGTGGAGCTGGGTTATTGAGCTGTTTACTCCTAGCTGCAGTGTTTGGGAATGAGACCTTCTCATAACAGGACAGGCTAAGGAAGAAAAGCAAGTAAATGATAACTTAATGATATTTTTTCATGTAATTATTAAACTAAGGGATCTGTAAAATAAAAATCTTTAGTGCCACACGATCTGAACGTGACACTCGTGGGTACCTTGTGTTGCTGTCACTCCTCTCCCCATTTTGCACTTGCCAAATATTCATTATGAACAAATGAGAAGGTACAGTGGGCCAGTGGCCTGAAATTCAATTTCCAGCTTCCCTCTGCAGTTGACCAAAGCTCTCTAATATTCCTAAGTGTTACTCAGAAAGAGAGTAATGTTTGGAGAGCTCAAAGTCCAAACACAAAAGTGTCTGGGCCATAGCGCTACATGTTGGAAAAATCTGCTGATGCTTGGGATGAAGTTCACTAGAATGTGGTGATTTCAGAGCATTGTCTTGGCCCAAGTTACTGGGCATCTGGTTGAATTGACCTTTTCCTCATGACGGTGGAACAGAACCTTTACTTCCCAAATACTTGTGGCTTTTTTCGATCAAAAAGATCGTTCCCCCCCATCTTTAGTGAGTGGGTAGAAATAACCATGACATTTAAATGTGCATCAGTCGTTTTTCTGTCTTGGTTTAATAATAATTTTTTTCTAAGTTAAATATAATTCAGCCACTGATGCAATAAATTCCATGAAGTTACAGTCTAGCATGAGTGGTAGAGTTCAGCCTCTTCCTAGTGCTCTGGTTTTGTTCTACTCCCTGTACTACAGCAGCTGCCAGGCTTTTCCAGAAACCCTTAATGTTGGGGATCTTTCTTCTGAAAAGTGAGCTGCTTACGAGTGTGATCTGTATTTACAGGAAGCACAGAAGTGTAAAAACAAGGTGTTCTGAATGGTGCTGGTAGGTGTGCACACCTGGGGTGCAGTGAACTGGGGGTATGTTCAGTGCTACACCTGGGGCTCTGTTTTTACAGCAGCGGTTCAAGACAGTCTCTGTGTGTGTCTGGCAGCAGCAGTAATGTGAGTCCCCTGAGACCCACAGGATTTGTACAGTGCTTTGTCACTGTTCTGCTTTGGGGAGGGTAAGGTGTCCTTCAATTGGTTTCCCAGGGCTTAAAGCTGAAGGAAGGCTCAGAAGTGGCCGGCAGGTCTCCTGCCCCAGTGAGCAGAGCCCCCTGGTGCTGGGGGAGGGGGTTGTGCCTCCAGCCTGTGGGCGGCTGGAAGGTGATTTGATCTGGAAGAGCAGTTTCCTGCTGCAGGCCATGATTCCTTGGCTGCTGCTTAGGACACACACGTGGCTAGTCACTAAATCCCCTCTCACGTGGTATTTTGTTATCTTCAGACACTTAAGCAGGACTAGATCACCAAGTCTGTTTGTTAAACTCTGTGCTTTCTCTCTGGATAGCCTTGTCTGCAAGGTATTAATAGAAACAAGCTGGTTATAAATTTTTCTAATTTTTTTCTTCCTTTTAGAAGAACACTAGTGAAATGTTTTTTTCTTCCCCCCATCTTTGGCTATTTTTCAGAAGTTAATATTTCCAGGAATTGTACTTTATTTTTTTTTTGACTGGTGGAGAGCATCCGTCTTGTTGCAACCAGCTGATATCCTTATGAGCTTGGACAAGTCCTTTAAAATGTCTGAAGAAATTTTGTTTGGGAATATCAAGAGAAGTTATAAATACTGGGGAAGCACAGCTGTTTCCACTGAAGTGGCACTGCAGTGCTGTGTTTTTGAGAGAGCAGCACCCTCAGCCATCAGGCACCACATGCAGGGAAGGGGAAGAAGCAGAACTCTGTGCAGAACAGAGGTGGGAGATGCTTTTAATTTGAAGTATGGACAACTAAGTGCAATTACATGCTTGATTCTTTTTCTAACCAGAGAATATTAGGATAGGGTGTCATGTCTGAAACCTTAAACCCATGCAATACAAAAATATCTTTTACACTCAGTTGTGACTGTTTGATCTTGGGGACACATTGTGTACTTGTGTTGATCCCCAGCCAGAAGTCATGAGCAGGGTGACACTGTCATTAGTATGAGACACTGCCATTAGCTTGGGTATATTTAGATACTGGCTTGCAGGTTTTGGAGCAATGAGAAAGCCACACAGGTAGCTGGTATTGCCTGTGAACATGTGTTTGTTCAAGATTCTTTGTGTTTATTTAATAACAGGAGCAAGGAGATAAAGCCAAAGTTATCACATCAGTAACTTCTGTGGAAATGCTTCTCAGTGCAAAGATAGATTAGGGATTTTGCTGGAAACAGTTGTTAAATCTTTCCGTTTGTTTACATACATTATCCAGACAGTTTTCAACATGGATCCTCCAGAAGGCACGACAGGTTTCCTGCCACATCAGTCGATATCTAAACATTACAAGGTATGGGATGCATTGGCTTTTACATTTTTCCTTCCCCCCCTTTTACTGCCTGCATTTCATGTGTCCAAGACTCAGAAGGTGTGGGTGACACAGCAAATGATGGTGGTTACAGGGAGGCTGTGTAAGTTCTTCCAGAAAAAAGAAATCACTAAAGGAACTGTGGTCCTTATAATTTATTTAGAGTTTGGGACTTAATGGACTGTGGTGCCACAACAAGTTATAAAACAGATATATTTATTTTTTTTTTAGAGAAAAGGGAACTTTGATAATAAGTTTAAGACTTGCTACTGTTTTTCAGTATTACCCTTAATATGGGCTAGCTTTTTGAGGGATCAAGTGCAAATTCCTTTCTGTAGCCATCTCTAGAAATGTTGCTTGTTCCTTTCCTTCAGGTACATATTCATCTGGATAACAATAATCAGAAAAAGAAACAAAGGACAGACCTCTGGAATTCATCATCTACAAAAAAACAAGGTACAGAACTTGGTCTTGGGGAGGCTCCTGTAAAAGCTGGATTGAAAAGTGTTCCAGTGAGAGAAAATCATCTCCATTATGGAACAGTTGCTTCAGACTAGCTCAAGAGTGGGGAACTCTCCTTCAGGATTGATGTGGAGGTTTATGACACTTCTGTTTTCCTCATAACAGCTGTATTTCTCTGCATAACTGTTGTTAAAACACAAAGTGAGTGTTGCTAAGGATAAAATGACAAAGAGAGTCATGCGTAGGTATGGTACTGAAAATGTGTGCCAAAGGCATTATAAAGGAAATTCTATAAAAGTTCTTAATCTCTGAAATTAAACATGGCAGAGGAGCTGTAATTGCTTGGCTCATTCTGGAGCTCTGGAGAAGGTTCATGGGATGTGCCAGAGACAATGCTTGAGGATGTGAATTCTTAGCCAGAAAACGCCAAGTACAGCCTCAGGGTGTTGTTACATTCTCTGGGATATGACCTTTTTTTTGAGCAACTTCCTAAGTTCTTCAGGGCATGTTGACTCTTCTTGATAGTTTCAGCCTCAGGTGTACTTGTCAGCCCTTCTTGTTCAACCCAGATTCCTCCCTCTTCTTATTTCCCTCCTCCCACCTATTTTGTCCTTATGCTCTGCAGAAGTTGGTATCTGGAACTGCCTCAACATAACCAGGCTTGAAAGCAGCATGCTTAGAAGAAAAGGCACTTGGGCTTCTGAATCAAAGGCTTATCCCAAGGCTCCTACAGAGCAGCACTGAGCTTGACTTTATTGGACTTTGTTCTGATATCTTTATTTTTTTATAGTTAGGTGGAAACTAAAACATTTTCTGATGAGAGGAGACAGATGTGGGTCCCTTCACCTAAGCCTTCTTAATAGAATATTCTCCTAGGATCTTGCCTCATAACTACATATCTACTTATTCAATCAAATTCTCTTGAGAATATAAATATTTGTTTCATAGAAGTGCTGAAGGACAAAAGTAACATTTTTCAAATGAATGAGTTTCCATGAATTCAGTGGGTTTGCACTTAGTGTTCCCTTAAGCCTTTCCACGAAGTTTTGTTCTGTTCCTGAACAGAGGCTGTTTCTTCATCTGCAAAACCTCTTCCCAAGACATTGCTCAATTGGAGTTTAGAGTTACAGGAATAATTCTTAAGTAGATTTTGTTAAATCTGTGTGCAGGAAAAGGCTAATACGAACACTTCAGATTCATTTCATAATGGGGAAGTTCTATACACGAAGCTAATACAGAGCAGTCACAGAATTCCTCTGTCATTTAGCAGGGGTATTGATACACTTGCTTTTCCAATAAAACCAGCATTTGCAGGTACCTGTGCAGCAGAGTAACAATTTTTTGGGACTTGCACATGTGCAAACCTGGCAGAGGCCAGACAAGGCTGATCAGGTCTCCAGTTCCCTCTAGCAGTGCAGCAGATTGGGTAGAACTAATGCAAACCTTTTAATAACAGCTGTTTTCAAAGGATTTTGTGGACATTACCCACTCAAGAGTAGTTCTCTATGAGCTGTGATCAGTGAGAAGTGGTGTGGCTCTGGAATGCTGCTGGGATCACTGCCCTGCTCCTTGTTCTCTGCAGGGATTCGACTTAGGAATGCAGCCTGGAACTGGTGTAGTTTTACCTGAAGATAAAATGCTCTTACTCTTGGTTTGCTCCAAATCAATGTGCTGTGAGCTCCTGGCAAACCATTTCTCCATGGGTCAGCTTTCCTTGTACCAGGAAGGGAAAAAGCTGCAAAAACCTTCTTTGTGTAATGTCCAACAGTTCCTGCTGGTGAATGGGACCTTTGAAATTGGTATAATCTGGTGAGGCTTGAAAATATAATGGCAGAACTCCAGGCTACAAATGTCTCAATTCCAGCTTTTCCAAGAACTGGGCACGTGGTGCCTGGCAGTTGTGCTGCAGGGCTGGAGGTGGATTTCAAACGAAGAGTTGGTGGGGCAGCATGAGTGGTTGGTGTTCTGCTCCTCTGGGCCAGTCCCTGCCAGCCCAGTTTCTTTCCTGCTGGAATTTCTTAAGCTCCTGGTGCAAGTGACTTGGCTCTTGTCCATAGATCCTTCAGGGCTTGTCCATATACACGTCCCACTGTCATTTGCACCAATTCTCAGTGGGAATTCAAGAGATACACTATTTGGTGAATTTTGGAATGTGAGTCTCCTAGAATCCAGACACTTGCCAGGTGGATTTGCCCAAATGAGATGAAAAGATAAAACTTTATCTTAAAATAAATGTTATCTTTGTAATTCTAAGCAGTAAGTGACTCACTGGGCACATACCACTGGGGATTTCCTGATGCTGTCAGGCTTCTTTTTGGAACTTGAAGGAAGCATGTCTGTTTAAAAGATATGCACATGATGACATGTGGATGCTGGATTTGTTTTTTTTAACTGAAACTTATAAGCAAAAATGTAATTAAACAGAAACGAAAGCCAAAGTTTAATTTGGCTGCTCTTGTTCTGGTCATAGATGATTGTTTCCTTCCCTTGTTCCTTTGCCTGTCTCTGGAAAGCTGGTGCTAAGGAAGACCAGCAGTGGCACAACTATAAGCTGAACAGTGGAAGAAACCACTAGTGTGATATTGGCATTTTTCTATTTATCCTTTCTGCTGATAACCTGTGATGTGCCAGATTGTCAGTGTCAGCCACTGAACATCCATATCCCACAGAAGATTTGAGCAGAAGCTGAAAGGTCTGGCACTTGTCTGAGGGAAAATTGAAAGTAGGTGAAGTGTTTGTATCCACTGGAAATTCCTGCT